TATAGAGATGTTTTTCTATACCATTTCTTTTAATGTTTACAATATCTCTTTGGATGCGTATTATTATTAATTTTCATTTTATGGGTGAGAAAATAAGGCTTAAAGAGGTTAAGTGAATTCTTAATTGGTATTTTCTTCCTAGTATTTTCAGAAAGATTCAAAGTAAAATTTGAATCAAAGTCAATCCGACCTCAAAACTATGCTCTAAAAACTGTACTAATAATTTAAATTAGCTATTACAGTTTTTGTGCTATAAAGGACTCAAATCCCATATCATAGAATTGTAGCTGTGAACTTGGCACATATCAAATATTATACCTGTTAGCTATTATATTAGAGAAAATTCAAAGTGTGTTCTTTAAATACACAGCAGAACATAGGTAACTGTTACCTCAAATATAATTTGTGCAATCTTAACTATAATAATAAGGTAAAGAAGGTAGTTTCAAGTTTAAAAAACTACTACGAAAGACAGGAAGAACACAATTGTTCCCCTGGGTTTGAGCTAACACTAGACATAGACAACCAAGTCAAGTTTATTACTGTTTTTAATGAAAGTCAAGGTCACTGCAATAGAAGTAATGATGACTGCAGTAGAAGCTGATAGTGCTGGACAATCGTCTCCTGAGCCCTCCCATGATTCGTCCCTGTGCAGACACCAAGTCCCAGCAGAAGGCGTTAACTAACTTTGGGAAAACTCCAAGACAACGGAACCACAAGGCCCAAGACAACAGTTATTCCCCAAGAAAGAGATTTAAGTAGCATCTGCATTTTCAGGAGATTAGGGACCCATGAAGCTGGTGTACATGAAGAAGAAACGATTTCCTTCACTCAGTTAATCAATGTTATTAAATGCCCTTTCTGGGCACGTGTTGCCGTAACTGTCACCAGACTGACAGAGTTTATAGCCTCAAATAGATAGGAAATATGATGTGAACCACAGGATCACCAGTTAGAAACGAGCAAGAGCTACATGAAGGGGGAGCCGTGCATGATTTGTGATGCTACTGACGATTCTGCATTGTCTCTAAAAATTAAAAGTTCATTCCCAGGGTACCAAACACATTTCTTCCAGGTGTTACGCCCCAATCGGTGGCAATGCTAATTAAAGCAAGCTTTATCTACCGTGAGTTGTGCAGGGAACGTGAAGGCAGGTTGCAGTGGCCTATGATTTGTTCTTCCCAATAACTGAGCTCAAAGATGCCATGTATTATAGTCACACGGTAAATGTGAATAATTATCTTTGTCACTCTTTTCTTCACCTGGAATGTGTGCATTTTTAAAAATGAAACACACTCTCAAATTTCACTTTTGTGCCAAGAAGCATATAATAATCGTAGAAAACATTTTATCAGCATTTCTCTGTGTGTTAGGCACTGAAAATATTATTTCACTTAATTTTTGGAATACCCCTGTGAGGGAAGAATTATTATCATCTCCATTTTCTCATGAGGGAAGTTTTACACTTTGGAAAACTCAGTAACTTGACCAGAATTACAATCTAGCAAATGGTTTGAGACTGGAATCCAGCTTCTGTGATTCCTGGGGCCATATACACTGATTTAGGCCACCTTGGTAATGAATGAACTGAGAGGCAAAGCCTTGCCTCTCAATTCATTCACTTTATTGCCAGCCAAGTAAACAAGTACTACAGGCTGTTATGGCAATACATGACTTTATTGTACATGACTCTACACCTACATGACTTTAACAACAGAACTCACTCATCGGAAATAGCAATAATTATATACTCACACCAATAACTTGCAAAAGATATAAATAATACTTCGTGGCCACATGTTTACCATCTACAAACATTTTTACAGAGCAATTTCTATCTACCGACCAACCTTACCTACTGTTAGAAATTCTCTAGTTTCCAGAACAAACAGAGAATAAAACCTTCTACAAGATGCTAATTGTCTTGTTCAAACCAGAAGTGCAAGCAGAGGTAGCAAGCGGGGTTAGATGAGACAGAAAAAACAATGTGGACCAGGGATAAAGTATAAATGCAATGCACAGGCAGGTGAAGGTGAAGGTGAAAGCACTGGATCACAGGTCAGGCTGTGGGAGAGGGAGATGAAAGGGAACCCAGCATCCTCCACTTCTGGTTCAGGGGCGGCAGCCAGTGGGCCCCAGGGAGAGACGGGACAAACCCCTTGCCAGGGCCATTCCTTTACCCAACCAGTGGGTCAGAGACCAAAACCCACGCTGCTACAGAGCGTCTTAGAGACAAAGAAAAAAAAAGACTGAGTTGAACATTTGCATACTTCCCCCAAATTAATTTCACTATTTTTCCTTTTAAAAAAGTCCAAGTACATCACAATCAGGTCAAATGTAAAATGCATGGGCTTTCTTCAAAAATGCGTGGAATAGGAATGAAGGTTTTCTTTCGCAGCTGAGTGTGAGTAATGTTTCTCAGGGGTTTGTTTACATTTGTTTACTTGTATCCACATCCTCTTTACCTACTCTTTTTCTCTTCCTACTCCTACTTTGTTTTTCATTTAAGTATAGTTGGTATACGGTGTTAGTTATGTTAGTTTTGAGTGGACAATATAGGGATTTGACATTTTTAACCAGGGGTGTCCAACCCGCAGCCCAAGGCGGCTATGAATGCAGCCTAACACCAAATCATAGATTTACTTAAAACATTATGAGATTTTTGTGTGTGATTATGTGTCTCAATGTATTTAATGTGTGGCCCAAGACAACTCTTCTTCCAGTGTGGCCCAGAGTTGCCAAAAGTTTGGACACCCCTGTTAAATGGGGATCTCCCATCTAAATTCTAGTCTTCATCGGTCGCCGTGAAAACTTATCCTAATATTACTGACTATATTCCCTCTCCCTTTTCTCACCCATCCCCCATCTCTCCCTCTGGCGGCCATTGCTTTGTTATGTTTCTATGAGTCTGTTTTTGTTTTGTTTTGTCTATTCACTTTTTTTAGATGCCACGCATAAGTAAAACCATACAGTATTTGTCTTTCTCTGTCTGACTTACTTCACTTAGCATGATACCCTCTAGGTTCATCCATAACCCTCAAGTTCATATGGAACCACAGAAGACCACACACAGCCAAAGCAACCCTGAGACAAAAGAATAAAGTTGGAAGTGTCATGCTCCTGCCCCTACTTTAACCACCATGCCTCTGAGTTGTAGACTGGCAGGTGAGCTGGTGGCTGTATAATTTAAATCCGCTGTTGAACGATGTTTATGTAGTCAATGATGTAAATAGCCCCAACCCAGAAACCCAAGAAGGAAAAAATATATACTTCAAGATGCAAAAGGCCTGTAGTACTAAAGGGACAATCACCTTAATATTTTCTTCCTTTCCCTGTTGTAAACTTTATCATTAAAGAAGGAATGAAGCTATTTGTTCATGTACCCAAGGCTGCCTGGTGCCTTACAGAGAGCACAAAGTCATTACCAGCAAGTTCTCTGAACGCAGGTATCTGCATATTCTTTCTCATAGCAATTACCTACACTTCAACATCTGCTCTTTTAGTTAAATTGATTTATTTGCTAATGCCAAACGCTCACTTCTGTCAGCAATGCCAAATACAGTGGTATTTAAAAAGTATCTACTAAAAATGTGCAGACAGTGAAACATGGATGAAGACGCTTTGGAAAGAAAACCAACACCTTTATTTCCCTGACCACACCAATGCGTATCGCAGCCCGTTTGTAAAAAGCAAAAGACTGGAGTTTAAGGTCACTGTGTGGATCTGTTTGCTCATCAAACATTAATTGTATAAACGTTAAGGAGGAGTAGCCAGTAACAAAGGTCTACTTCCTTACACATGCATATCCTGGCCACTTACCTAAATGCCACCGATTTTCCTTAAGAACAAAACACCAGTTGATTTATGCATTTCATACTGCAATACTTTAAATGAAAAGAAACAACTTATTCAACGGCTTATTTTAGCACTGGGGTGAATGTCAGTCAGTTTTGTAACTATTTAAATTGTGAACAGGTTAGAATCCTTCTTATCTCATAAGTACTCCCATTAATTTATTTTTGGTGGGGCATGGTGGGGGGGAGCTTCTGTCCCAGCAGACTTGACTATTCTTCCTCACTACCTTATAAGGCAGAAATCTGCATTCAGGAAATCTGCATTCTGGTCTGCCTTTAACCACTCCACTCTTTTTTTTTTTTTTGTAGGATTCAGAAGGCTGAATAGTGTACATGTTTGTACACGCTTAACTGCTCATTAAAAAAAATAAAACTCACCTTCATTCTAAAATGCACACTTCATAAGAAGGTTTTCAATACTGTTCATTGCGGTGAAAGGCTGTGTGTGTGTGTGTGTGTGTGTGTGTGTGCGCGCGTGCGTGCGTGCGTGTGTGTGTGTGTGTGTGTGTGTGTGTTGAGGGAAATGTCCTCTAATTCTTATTTTTAAAAAATTGCCCTCGTTTCCGGAGCACCTCCAGACACTTCTTAGTAACTGTAGGGTGTGCGTCAGAGGTGTCCGGAGCATTACAAAGGCCACTGGCGTGCGACGAGGTTATACATATGCAAATTAACCAGATGTCACTCAAAAAAGACCCGCCCCCCTTAGGAAAAGAATTGGGGCTGATCCTTGAAAGGTAAGGGACCCACCGCGTCTTAAAACCGCACTGCCCACGTGCGCACTCAGGGGCCCCGCCCCTCTGCCTCACTCTGCATCCCAGAAAGGGACCCGAAGGCTCCTGGACCACCAAACATCCCGCCAGACGAGACACAAAACTCTGCCCTCCCTCCTCGCCTTGGAGCCCTGCTTCATCTCCACTCCTGCTCAGCTGGTGAACAGCAGAGGAAAGTTGAGTAAACGCCGGTCACAGCGTGTTTGAAAAGAACAGAAAGGCAACACAATGAGGAGCCAGGAAATGGGCGTGGACGGTGCCCCAGGACACGCAAAGAACGCGATGGGCTAAAGGGCGCCTGGCGAGGCGCGCGCAGCAGGCGGAGCGCAGAGACCTCAAGGAAAGACGGACGCGCCTGGGCCCTGCCGCTACTCACGCGTCTCCGCCCTCCTCCGAGTCGCTGTCCGAGGCCCACTCCTCGCCAATGTCCGGCAGGGTGAAGAAGAGGGTTTTGGGGCCAGGTCCGGGGGGCATCCAAGCGCTGGGCTCTCGGTCCCCGGGGCCAGGCTGGCGGGAGTTCCGGGGGCTCCAGGTTGAACCGCCGCTGCCCGTGGTGCCCCCGATGGAGGGCAGCGCGGTCCATACCCCGGCAGGAGGGCCGGGGGGCGGCCGCGCCACTGGCACCAGGTGCGCCGGGGAGCCCGCGGCGCTGCAGCCGCCGCTGGAGGGGGCCGGGGGCAGGGCCGGGACTTTGGTTGCTCTCGGGCTACTGGGCAGTGAGAAGGGGGTCCCTACTGCTTCTGTCCTTAGGCTCGCGCCTGAGGCCTTGGGGTAGGAGGCGGTGAGCCGAGGATGGGGCGCGGCTGGCGCCCACCGCGAGGTGGAGGGTGAGTCGGGCGCCAGGGCGGGGAGGAGGGTCAGGGTGGGGGCTGCCAGCACGGAAGTGGCAGCGCCTTCTGCGTGGCTGGAGGAGGCGACAGGCGAGGGAACCCCCGGGGGCGCCATCGAGGTCTTGAAGATTTTGGCAAAGAGGGACCCAAGGTCCAACACTGCGACCTTCATGTCCCAGGCTCGGAAATGCTGCTGCTGCTGCTGCTGCTGCACCCGCAAGGCCTCGGGGAGCCAGGCTTCGGGGCTCCATCCACTGCCGCTCGCAGGGATCCGGGGAAGGCGGCCCCGGGCGGTGGTGGGGGTCCTGGGGACCCTGTACTCCGCAGGGCCCCGGGGACCTCTGGTTCACGTCCCACGCAGAGGGACGCCTGGGGGCGCTCAGCCCCTCACCACTGGAGACCGATCTCCCCGATGCCCAGGTGGTCCGCAGGACTCTGAGGCTGGGGGCAGAGGCGGCCACCTCTGCGCCCAGTCGACCCTCCGCCTTGGTGCTGCGAGACCCTGGAGAGCCACGGTGCAGCCAGCACCACCGGGCTGAGGGTGGGGACTGGCGCCTCCGCCTGCAGAGATACCCCACGGGGCCTCCAGGACGCCCCAGCCGTTGCTAAGCTAAACATAAACCCTGCTTAGCTCACCGCTAATTGGGCCCCGGACTGCAGCCTGGGGCTGTGTCCACAGTAGATACCCTGGCTCTCCTCCTTGATTCCTGCCTTAAAGGAACACTGTCCAATTTCTCCATCACCCTTGAAGCTCCCGGCTGAGGACGGAGAATTTGAACAGAGCCCTGGGAAAGACAACCTTGCTTCCAAAAGACCTGGAACTTAAGTAGTCTGACAAGACCACCCGTGCCGGGGTCAGGAAGATGGCTAGCTCTGTGACAGGAGGGAAGGCTGGTTAAAATGCGCAGACACACACACACCGGGTATTCAGGTCAGGTGACGTGGCCTCTCCTCCCACCTCAGGGCCAGGTTCACAATGGTCACTGAAGATGACACAGGGGAACAACAGCAGATGCCTGACGCAAGAACTTGGAAATAATATTGGGCTCTAACTGCTAACTAGTAAAAACCATACAACATATGTGTTTAAATACCAGTCAGAGTGAACCAAGAGATTTAATAACAAAAATGTTTGAGGACTCAAACTATATCAAACGGATGAGATATAAACCAAAAAGGCAGATACAAAAGGTCAGAGTTTCTTATTAGGTGGAATATATCTCCTTTTGCTAAATCTGAAGAATTGCGGTAGAAGGCAGGGTGCCCAAGGGCCATGATCCACAGGAGTGCGGGGTCAACTGTGAGCAAGATTAAAGAGGAAGATATCGGCGGGTTTGTCCACTACCGTTTAGGAGATGTACTTTCTCATTTGGGGCAGGGAAAGGCAGTGAATGGGCCTGGGAGTGAACACATTACCCGATGTTCATGAGGATGTGCGTTATTGCGCTTGGCAAGGTCTCCAACTGGATTCCGCGCCACGGCAAATTTCCGTTGGTAATGCCAAGTTTTGGATTTTTTTATAGAGCACTAACCAGTCTTCTAGCTATGACATCCACATCCTCTCAGGATCCTTTTTCTGAATCCAAGTGCCACGAACAAACAGGTTCTGGGCAGCTTTCTACCGTGAGATAGTGCCCAGCACTGAGACGTGAGAAAAGGGTGATCTCTTCCCACGGCCAGAAATAACCAGCTTCCGTCACAGCTCAGCGTCAGGTGACTGCGTCGGCAAACAAGCACCGTCGGCGGCAGCCAGGGCACTCGGCGTTAACCTGTAGAAAGATCAACTGTGTGCTCAAGAGAGATGAGAGGCCAGGCTGATGAGGGTCTTCCTCCAGGGCCTGGGATGTCGGCAGAGGGAAGAGCATACGGTTGTCAGCACGTGGAGCACCAGTGAAGAACCACACGGTGAAGAATGGAAATGAGGGAGGAGACGGGAGTAAGAAACAGACATCCGACAACGGAAACTGGAGGCGGCGGTCTCAGGGTCCGAGCAGGGAGGCTGGCCAGCTTCGTCCACACTTCTCATATTCTCACCCTCCCTCTTTTGTAACCACTCTTCAGGTGTCCGTGGAGGTGTGCATGGTCCATCAGAACACTGGGCTCTTTTCCTACTGCGCCGATTCAGGACTGCAGTGCTGCATCCTAAAGATCATGTATTTCAAAGGACTCTTGCTTCTGATTCGCAGAATAATTAAATCCTCAGTAGGTTAGGTCGCTCTCAATGCAAGTTGAATCAGTTCTAAAATATGGGCTTCCAGTGTTTAAACTACTCATCTTCTGATTGACTCTGGACCCTTAGAGCTGACCAGCCTCTCAGGATGGAGCCCCACTAACCTGACTCATAAAATACAGAAGCATGAACCTCCCAACTCTAATGTGTTAACTAATAACGACAATCCAGAGTTGTCCTCTGCTCTTTCCCTACGAGAGGAATTCCTGCTGACATCAAATTAAGTTGAAAGGTCGTTAGGTGAGCATAGAATCAAGCAAGGGCAATGTGTCACATGATTCCTACATAGGGGACACTCACAATAACACAACCTTGAGTGAACTGTGGGGCGTCACCTACCTGTCTTCTGCTCTTTAGTTTTAGACGTTCCTGTGCTTCCATTACCAACCACTTCTGTGCATGTGCTGTTGTTTATATGGAGACTGTTAATAAAGCTACAGAGAATCTGCAAACTCTTCCAGATCCTGAAAACATTCTGTCTTGAAGGTGTGCTTGCATGTCCCCTACCTGTTACAGACTGAATTGTGTCCCTCCAAAATGTTGAAGTCTTACCCCCCCTGTTCTTGGGAATGTGACCTTTTTTGGAAATAGGGCCTTTGTAGAAGCCAAGTTAAGACAAGGTCATTAAGAGGAGCCCTGATCCAATATGACTGCCACACTCTTAAGAAGAGAGAGATTTGACCACCACCACACAGGGAAAACCCCAGGTGATGGCGGAGGCAGAGGCTGGAGGGATGCAGCTGCAAGACAAGGGACATCGAGGGCTGAGGGCCACCACCAGAAGCGAGGAGGAGGTAAGGAAGATTCTCGCTGTGGTTTTAGAGAGAGCACGATCCTGCGGCCATCTGACATCAGATTTCTAGTTTCCAGCATTGTGACAGAATAAGTTTCTGTTATTTTGGGCCACCTGATCTGTGGCACTTTGCTACGGCACTGTAGGAAACTCAAACACTAGTGGGGTATTAGTAAATCGCTAGGGTACTTCATAATTATGGTCTCCTGCTGATACATTTATGAAATCTTCAGTGGGAGCATTGTCTGTAAAAAGCTGGCTGTAGATTAAAATGATAATCATAGTTGTTTCAAATCCACGGGGGAAATGACAGGTATCTTAAAAAAGAAAGGGGAAGATGTATCATTGTCGGTTCAGGTGGTAAATGTAGCATCCTGGTCAGCCAGGCTCCTGAAGCTGGCACAATGAATGAGCGATCGAGCCTTTTGTTCAAAGCTCCTTTGAAAATGGCCTATAATTGCAAACATGATAAACAATTCTCAGCAAGATGCTAGGTCTTTCCTATCCATTGTTCGTCCATCAACAGTCTTTCAGAGAGACATTAGATGCTACCAGGCTTCTCGGTTAATTACCAGTATCATGGCATGTCTTACAGCAAGAGGCTCAGGTGATGTACTCAATCGTTCTGGTTCTGGCTCGGGCAGAATAAGGAGACAAAAGTACATGCAGTGAATCGTTGTCACTAATGGTGACTGTGAATTTCAGATAAACTTTGTTAGAAATGTCAAAGCAATGTTTTGTGTGATAAAATTCTTCAGCTTATATCAGTTAATAAACAATTCAAAGAATTGATTTTCTGATGTGTGCAATAATGCTTGGCTACATTATTGAGAAAGTATTAGGAAGTTGCTATGAAGAAATGGTATGTTTTGGACACCTGGAAGTTAAATAATCTGAGTAATTAATCTGTTTAAGAATTGAAATTGCCTCTCTTAACAGGAACACCAAGGCCAGAACCTATAAAGAAAAGTACTATCAAAATTCATTAAAAACATTTAAAACTTCTGAACAATGAAATGCATGTGTTGATTGAACAAATATTTACTAAGCATCACAGTGGAGATAGCACAGTCTGGTGGACTGAGGTACTGAACCCCTGAGGTTCATGTTGTCACTGCCACTGCCACCCACCCAGGCCCCTCTCTGTCCCTCATGGTCCCCGCCTCCAATGATGAAACGTGGGGAGAGTCGCATGAATTGACACCTGCTCAGTAATGCGAACAGAGCCTCACGTAGGGTAAGCTCCCAGTAGACATTCGTTTTTATCACATGTGGGTCCACTTTACACCAAAAAACAGATCTTGAAGGAAATTAGAGTCACCTTTATGTCCAAGGTTATTCGTTTTTGTACAATTTGGATCTTTTCAGTAAGTGTGTCCTTTTTGTTTTCAGTGATAAACACACAAAAGAAAACAGCGCAGACCAAAACCTCGAAAGCCTCAAGCAAGTTTCTTGAGGTGTGATTAGGGCTGTGGGTTCTTCCATGGGAAAAATACAAGAATAAGAATGCCTTTCGATTGATCAGAAAACTGCTTTAGAAGACAGAAATTATTAATAGACCATGACCGAATCTTCCGGGCGTGGCGGCAGAAACCGTGGCGGAAACGACCGAGGCTGGACCCAGGAGGCTTTGCAGGTGCTCTCGGCTGCAAGGAACCCAGAGAGTTTCACTCACAGTCCCAGAGCTTCTGAGAGGCTTAAACAGCTCACAGCAGGAAGCCCAGGTCAGCTGGTTCTGGGCCATTGGAAACTCAAGGTCTTCCTCCCTTGTTTGTTTGCTCACTGGTAGGGGGTTGAGCCTTGTTTCCTGGTGGTCCCCAAATGGTACCCTGAGCACCAACCATCTTCCCCTCAAATAACTACATTCAAGGCAAGAAGAAGGTACAGCTTACTCTCTCACTTTCCCACTCATTAAGGAACAAAATACTTTCTAGAAGCTTCCCATTGGCTAGAACTAAATGAAAAGTCCTTCCCTAAACTAATTATCAGGAAAGGGGAAGTAAGAGTTATCACACTCTTTAATCATAGTTCCTCACTTTGTGGTCAAGAAAAAGTCTACTTTCCCTGAGTGTGTTACCATCTAGACAAAACCAGGGCTTGATCAATCAAGAAAGAAGAGATGGGTATGTTTGTTGGGTATAGTAATAGCTACAACGAATAGTTTCGAATTATCAAATTAAAAAAGCAGCTACCAATTAACTGTTCGTATTGTGTGCTATGGATATAAACTCATGCACTGAGCATTTCAGCACCATTGTAAGTGCTATCTCTGAAGAGGTAGGAATAGACCGTCTCAAACTTGACCTCGTATAGTTCCAATTATCACAGTCAATGTCAATGTCACATCATGTACATCACTGCAGAGTTTGGTAGTTTCAAAGGAGACTCTGGAGGCAGACTACATGGTTTCAAATCATGACCCTGATAAGAGGCAGAGAGGGCACACTGGGCAAGTTAAGTACCCATGTGCTTCAATTTCCTAATCTGTGAAATGAAGACAATAAGAGTGCCCTGTGTGGTTGTGAGGATTTAAAAATTAATACATGAAAAAGACTTAAAAGCTTGCTGGCACAAAGTAAAAACTCTATTAGGTGATGATGATAATAAAAACCATGACTGAAAATTTGGCAAGTGTTCATAAAAACTCTTCTCCACGATTTTTCAGTTTTTGGTTAGAAAGTGTGCTATTTGTTTAATGGTGTAGCTTCCCACAGCTAGGGAAACTATGTCACGGTGGAGACACCAATGGCTTTGTAGCCATGCCAGCTTAGACTTGAACTTTGCACATATTTGCTGTTTGATCTCACACAAGTCACTTGCTTCCGGTGGGGCTCAGTCCTCCCATCTGTAATAGCCTTTTCCACAAAGCTGTTATGAATATTAAATGGTATAATGCATAGAGTAGGCGGTAGGTTACATATGGTTGCTGAAACAGTTCACTAACAAATTTGTCAAAGTAATGGAGTCATATTAGCAAAAAGATTATGGTCAACTCAAAAGTCCGCTGAGTGTGAGTCTAGTTCAATGCTTCTCGGAGTGACATCTACAGATTCCCCTCTAGCAGAGTCATCTGGGATGATTGTCACAATGCAGAACTCTGAACCAAATATGTGACTCAGAGTTTCTGAGGGTCATTCCCAGGACCTGCATTTTTTAGCAAGTTACCCAGGTGAGTGTTCAGCTTGCACAAGTTTTAGACCTGTTTGTCTGCTTCTTAATATACATGGACCCTTGTAAGCCCAGCATCTGCTCATTTGCCCAGCCTTTATCCCGGACAAGACTGCTTTGCACCAGAACAACCCAAGCGGAACAGCCCTTTAAACCCCTTGCACCCAAGGGTTGTCTGCTGCAAGCGAGTAGAGTGGATGGAGAAAGGCCCTGACCTTAAACCCCCCTCCAAAGTCACACGTCCGAGGCTAAGCCCCCTCTCCTGTCAGGGTTTGTACAGATTCTTGCACCAGCAAGATCTTAGGGTTGCACCCTCTTTAGACTCTTTGGACACTCACACTGTTCAAGAGATCGAGCCTGTCTATCACAGAAGGACTGGGCACAGGGTGAAGGGCCAATGAACCCATCCTAAGGAGGAAGCGTATTTGGGAAGGTTGTGTCTGGGTCAGGTTGGGTCAACAGTTGAGTCTTTTTGTCAGAGAAGTTGATACCTGACCCAACCCTTGAAACTGCAGAATGTAGCCAAGAAAAAAGAATGTCGGAGAGCCATGAAAGCAGAACTACATTTCCACGTGGATAGAAAGTTAAATGGGGAAGGCGTGCTGGGGAATCAACGCAAGGTCCGGGAAGCTGGAGTTCAAGAAGCATCTGCTCACTCAGTCCTTCCATCACTGTGTGGCAGGGACCACACCAATGGGAGGGAACGTTTGGACATGAAGCAAGAGGAGGAAGGGCAAGGTCACGAAGAAACTTCCAGTGCGCACTAAGGCTTTAAGTGGAGACCTGGAACTCCCCGAGCCTTTGTTCCCTGCGGTACTGTCACGCAGTCCTGGAATCGGCACTGCAGAGCTGAAGGAGCCCGGAGCAAAGTTTGGAGCACCTTGATTCTCTTTTGTATATTTTCTCTCCCAGAAGCAGACGACATTTCTGGGTGGTAAAAATGTATTTTCACAAAATAGAATATGTTTATTTTCCTTCTGTGCCCACTGCTGCCATGTCGATACAGTGTTTTCTGTTCAACCATCTGTAGTTTGAAAAATTACTCTATTCCAGTGATTCTTCTAGGTGTTGAGGATTCTAGGACAAATACGATGGAACTCCTTGTATTCAAGGTGCTCATACCCTGGGGTCTCAGGATGGAGTCAGATATAAACCATGTCCAAAACATGACACGCAGTTAGACTAAGGGTTGAATAAAGTACCACAGATGCTAAGTAATAAATTGATTCCTTCTGCATGCTGTGTGTAGGTATGGGGGTGAAGGGGTTGGTATATCACAGAAGAATTCCACAGGAGTTGCTTGGATTGGAGTATCAATAAAAGTAAAATATGAAATTCTGGTTGTTTCTTGTAGCCACACTGTGAACATCCTAAAGACACAATGAGGTGGGACCATGCTGTCCTTCTTTACTACTGCCCACTGTTAGTGCCACAGTGTGAGTTGGTTCACCTCTTTCTGACTCTCCGTAACCCACATATCAGGTACATTTGTATGTGTTGAGGACTGTGATCCTTCTCTGGCCCATGAAATGTCGTTAAATAAAACTTAACAGCTTGACTGAATGCCACAGTAATAAGAGATTATTTGTCACAATCATATTCCAAGACAGTCATGTCTTTTTGTAAATGGGGGGGACAGGAAAGGACCCTGTGTGCAGAGAAGAAATACAGCCAGTACAGGAAGTGGTGGGCCACACAGAAGAGCTCAGGGGGCTGGTCCCGAGCCTGGGAGAAGCAGTGAAAAACAAAAGAAAATCAAGCCAAGGAGATAAGCTTGACCCAGTTGTGAAGAGCCTTGAGGGTCATGCTAAGTGATGTGAACTGTGTCTGATGGACATGGGGGCGTGTCCAGAACTGTCAGTTTGTCCCACACAGCCCCACTGTCTCACCCTTCCTGGAGCCCCTATGCATTTCTGATTAACTTCCCAAGTCTAATGGGTGGGCTTTCCAGCCCCGTGAGCCCGCCCATCCCAAAGTCAAGGGCATCTGCATGTGGGGCTGACATGACAAACAGAAAGTGCTACCAAAAGGCTGGCTAAAGCAATTTGCCAGCAGGGAGCATGTTTGGCTGAAATTTTAAAGTATGGCTGCAAAGGTGAAGGGAAGGTGATGTAGGTAACCTGTGAAGTCCAAGATGGGCAAAGGTATGAAGACAAACTTCTCAGACGGTATCAGAACTAGAATAGTTTAGGTTATCTAGGGTGTTTCCAAAAGTGTACAATGCAGAACATACATTCAGCACGAGGTTAATAAGAGCTACATGATAAGAAGGGTTCTATCATCAAATTAGTTTAGAAAATGACTCGGCAAGAAAAAGCTAAATCCCTTTCTTTAAAGCAGGACCTCTTAGCTTGGCAATACCCTACCATTCATTGCATATTTCTGAGGGGAGGAGATGGTATGCAGTGCTTCTGACATTTACTTGGCAGGGGCACTTTTATAGAATGTTTTCTTGCAAGACTAGTGTTGCAAGACTAGTGAAGAACACTAATCAATACAATCTACAGCAATACTGGGAGATACGCTTAGAAGACTGGGTGGAGTCACATTCATGGAAACCTTTGAATTCATTTTATTAGATGCTAGGCATTCACTGGACAACTTTGTGTGGGGTGGGGCAGGGGATTGATGGCTAACCAGAGCTGTGCCCAGCCTACGATTTGAAAGTGAAAAAAAGAGGAAGAAGGAGTTGCAGTGAACAGATTATATGCTGGCAACCAAATACATGAATTCACTGGTGGAAATTAAATAGGTCAGACACATAGCCTTTTCTGCACCTGTACACTTTCTGTATGGAACTCAAGGGAGAAGGACTTCTGAGGACAATTACAAAGGACAGCCTACAGAAGTTGCTTCCTGTGTAGGTCAAACACAAGTCAAAGCTTACACCTCTGATTAGTTTTACTTATAGTCAGCTCAACAGGTCAGCCCTTGTGTTTTCTGACCTCTTAAATATTAAGCAACTTTTAAAAGATTACATTTGGATCCATTGACAGACTTCTGGCCAAGATGGAGGCATAGGTAGACACACTGTGCCTCTTTGCACAACCAAAAGGACAACAATGAATTTAAAAACAACCAAAACTCCCAGAAAATTGAACTGTATGGAAGTCTTACAACCAAGGTGTTAAAGAAGAAACATTTATATAGACCAGTAGAAGGGGCAGAGATGGGCAGCCAGGTGGAGAGAACTCAGGGCAAGGCAGCAGCTGGCAGAGTGGGAAGTCCCACATTTGTGTGTGGATAGACCGGGAGGAAAAACTGGGAGCAAGACAGACCATGCAACCCAGGGTCCCAGTGCCGGGAAATAAAGCCTCAAAACCTCTGACCAAAAACACCTGTGGGGGTTGAGGCAGCAGGAGAAACTCCCAGCCTCACAGGAGAGTTCATTGGAGAGACCTACAGGGTCCCAGAACATACACAAACCCACTCACCTGGGAATCAGCATCAGAAGGGCCCAATTTGATTGTGGGTAGTGGGGGAAGTTACTGAAAGCTGGCAGAGAGCTGAACAAGTGGTATTGTTCCCTCTCGGACCCCTCCCCCACAGACAGCACCACCATGCAGAAATGTGGGTTGCCCCACCCTGGCCAATAACTAAAGCACCACCCCTTACTACATAACAGGCATGCCCAGACCAAAAAAAAAAAAAAAAATGGCCCACATGAAAGAGGACATCAAAGCTCCAGAAAAAATACAACTAAGCAATGAAGAGATAGCCAACCTATCAGACACACAGTTCAAAACACTGGTAATCAGGATGCTCACATAATTGGTTGAATATGGTAACACAATACAGGAAAGAGTAAAGGCTACGAAAAGTGAAATAAAGGAAAACATACAGGGAACCAACAGTGATGGGAAGGAAACCAGGACTCAGATCAATGGTTTGGACTAGAAAGAAGAAATAAACATTCAACCAGAACAGAATGAAGAAACAAGAATTCAAAAAGGTAAGAAGAGGCTTAGGAACCTCTGGGACAACTGTAAATGTTCCAAAATCAAAATTGTAGGGGTGCTAGAAGGAGAAGAGGAAGAGCAAGAAGTCAAAAACTTATTTGAAAACATAATGAAGAACTTCCCCAACCTGGCAAAGAAAATAGACTTCCAGGAAGTCCAGGAAGCTTAGAATCCTAAAGAAGTTGGACCCAAGGAAGCACACATCAAGGAACATCATCACCAAGTTACCCAAAATCAAAGAGGAGAGAATCTTAAAAGCAGCAAGAGAAAAGGAGACAGTTACCTACCAAGGAGCTCCCATAAGATTATCAGCTGATTTCTCAAAAGAAACCTTACAGGCAAGAAGGGGCTGGAAAGAAGTATCAAAGTAATGAAAGGCAAGGACCTATATCCAAGATTACTCTACCTAGCAAAGCCATCACTTAGAACGGCAGGGCAGATAAAGTGCTTCCCAGATAAGGTCAAGTTAAAGGAGTTCATCATCACCAAGTCCTTATTATAGGAAATGTTAGAGGAACTTATCTAAGAAAAAGAAGATGATCAGAAAATTTGAATAGTAAAATATCAAGAAACTCACAATTATCAAACTGAGCCTAAAAAACAAAAAAGCAAACAAAACAACAAACTAACTAAGCAAACAACTAGAACAGGAATGGAATCACAGAAATGGAGATCACATAGATGGTTATCAGTGGGAAAGGGGAGTGGGGAATGAAGGAAAAGGTACAGGAAATAAGTATCATAAATAGTAGGTACAAAATAGGCAGGGGGAGGTTAAGAATAGTACAGGAAACATAGAGCCAAAGAACTTAATTTAAAACTTAAATTTACCATGGAACTTTTTAAATTACAAAATTTGCTCCTCTGTTCCTTTAGTCCTTAAATACATTTAATGGACTGAATTTCTGGACCCAAGTGCTACTTGCAGTTTATGATGAAAGGCATTTATTCGCTCCACCTGGACTGGCCAGTTCAAGATGCAGTGAGATTTAAACATTCCTCTTCGCAAACAGAGTGTGTGGTTCAGTTTATAATCTGGAATCTCTTCAAGAAAGATCAAGATAATGGAGTCCAGATTTTGTTCAATAGCTTTCTGAACTGCTTGGTGCACCTTGAATCTAAGTAATAAAAAAAAGTAAGTTATGTATCAATATACAGTCTTTAATAGCCAAAAGTTCTGAAATGTAAAATTCCCCTTAGAATTTACTTTAATCAGTCACTAAAAATCAGGTGATATTTTTTCTTAATTTTATTTTTAAAATTCTTTGAGTTGTGAGTAATAATGCTGTTAATATTTAAGAGCTAAATTTAAACAAGTAAATACTTAAAATGTCATAATATTCACCTACCTTTTGCATAATGGGTCTTTCAATAGATTCTGTGTTATAACAAAAATTGTTTTTCTGCTCCTTTTGATGCTACTGACAATTGCTTCAAGTTCAAGAACGCCTGCCTGAAAGTCCCTTTCTTCCAGACAAAATCTGAGGGTTTGATCTTTTTCCTCCATGGGGTAGAAGTGTTCCCACACCCAGTCCCTATCTTCATAGGCATGAATTATATACGCTGCATAGTCAAACTGCTCAGGCTGTCTATCCATTTCTTTGAAACCCAGAGCTCGATGCACTAAAACATTCCAATAAAAAGATAGCCTCCAGCCCTCCAAATGGATGAGCAGTACCATTGAGATAAAAATCAATAGGATGCTGGTACTTATCATGAAAAAGAGTTCAAAGGGTGCACTGTCTTTGCAGGGCGATACATCGAAAAGCATCACGGGAAAACCATGGTACTGAGGTGGAGTGTTGCAGAGGTAATGGCTCGATAGCTCAGAGATGTTGGCGTGGGTGCCATTGATCCAGGTAACAAACCAGGCGATGCTTTCACATGTGCAATCAAATGGATTGAAGCTCATATCTAAATTACTCAGGTTCTTGAAAGCTGGCCCAAAAACATTCTTCTCAACTGATGTGATGAGATTCTTCTGGAGGCTCAGTGACTTTAGCGATGCCTGATCATCAAAGACGGAGGGTGGAAGTATGTTTAAATTATTCAATCCCAAATTGATGCTCCTTAACTGAAATAAGTCCTTGAAGGCATCTACCGGGATCTCATCAAAGCCATTTGACTCTAAATTAAGGATACGGAGGTGAGAAAGACCCTTTAGGAAATGCACGGGGCCGCCAGGGTTTGCATGTTTCCAGAGCCTCGCTAAGTTGTTATGTTGCAGATCCAGAATTTCCAGTTTCTCCAGACCCTCCAAAAGGTCATCGTTTATGTTGGCTATGTTGTTGTTGCTTAGATCGAGAATGGTCAAGTTACGAAGGGAGCGAAAAGGCGAAGGGGCCACAATTCTAAGGGCCACCCTTCGGAGCATCAGTTGTTGAAGGCTTGGAACCGAGGTGAATGAGTTGCTTGTCAGTTGTAGGTATTTGTTGTAGGAAAGGTAGATTTCTGCAATATTGTCTAGACCTCTCCATTCCTCCCCTGTGAGTTCTTGCCCAATTTCATTAAGGCCAAGGTCTAGTACCTTCAGGTGGCCCAACCAAGAAAAAGCACCACCCTCCATTTTTGAGATTTTATTTTTGGTGAGGTTGAGCATAAGTAAAGGAGAATGGGCAAGTGAGGCAAATGTTTCATTTGTTAAAGTTTGAAAACTTGTGAAGGAGTTGGATAGACTTAAATATTTCAGCTTTACGAGTCCCGTGAACATATTGTTTTTTATGCCCAGAAAGTTATTATCGTCCATGTTAAGATACTCCAAACATGTTAGCCACCGAAAGGAAAAATCATCAATCTTGGGAAGCAAAGCAAGGGAATTGCTTTGTTTAGTAAAAGAGTGTCTCATGTTCAGGTATCTCACGTTGGAGAGCCCATAAAAGGAGTGAGAGGACAAGTGGCCTATGTTATTATATTCTAGGAAGAGATATTCTAGATGTGGAAGCCAAACAAAGGAATCATTGCTGATCGTATTTAAGCTGTTATAGGACAGATCGAGCGTGGTGAGATTCGTCTGCTTTAGTCCAGCGAAGGTCACATTGCTCGTTCTGGGCAGCTGGGTGTTGCTCAAGAACAGATTCTGAATGCTTGTGTTCGCTAATTCCAGACACAGTTTCTCTGTGAGCCTGGGACCCAGCTGGACATTGTTCAGCGAGAGACCAAATAATTTTCCAATTGCATGAAAACACCCTGGAGAGAACTAAAGGTGGAGGGAAAGAAAGAGGTAAGCAAAACACAATTGAGGTGGTATGACCCTTGTGAAGTTTAAACGCAGTCTGTTCCTCAACCCCCCTTCCCACTCACCACCCTGTCTGGGTGTTCTCTGCATCCTGCAATGCACTGCCCCTTACTCTGTGCCTGTCACCTGTGCCTCTTACTCTGTGTCACCTGTGCCCTGTCTAGCCCTCCTCTACCCCTGCTGCAGGCGAACTTCTACTCGGCATTCCTGTCTCAACTTGGACATCACTTCTTCCAGAGCTCTCCTGACCTCTCAGTCTAGGTGATGTTCTTAGTACTTTTCCTTCATCGCACTGACTCTGGCTGTCCTTGATCAACTCTTCGTCAAGTTGCCCTTGGGGCAGAGCCTCTTTCTGTCTTGGGGACCACTGCTCTCAGGGAACATCATGGAGGGAATGGCTGGATTTTATTTTTGAAACATTTCCTTCTGCAGCTCTTGAGCTCCAGCCACCCTCTTTGTCTTTGTACCACGGTGTGCTCCTGACTCTTTTCATTACAGGTTTCCAACTTCTTTCTGCTCTGCCCCACTTCCTCACCAGAAGCTTTGGTTGCTTCGGGACATGGCAAAGGCATGAGAGCAGAGGGCAAGAGACAAGGAGTCCAGAGAGGACAGTAGCCAGTCCCCAGCGGCGGAGCACCTGCAGAGCAAAGAGGCTCTGATTTCTACCATGTCATTCGTGAGTTTGGGGGCTAATGGGAGGAGAGGCAGAAATGTACAAGAAAACGTGCTTTCTTGCAAGTAAAGGGAGTTGACCTGCAAAGCAGGAAATTAGTAAACTAATAATGATAAATTTATATGGTAGGATTATTTTGCAGTAAGTAAAATTAAGTTTTTCAATACTTCTTAGTGGCCTGGAGAATGTCCGCAATATGCTTCTTTTACATGGCAGGGCACGCGGTCATCCTCAAACACAGGACATAGCACGACCAATACAACACAGTCTCTGGTCTCACACCGCCAGGAACCAGCTCCGTCACCAGCTGGTCACCTGGGAGACCTGAAATGAGACCTTTACTTTTGAGTGAAATGATGATAAGGATGAGTTGGTTACAGGGCTGTATAAAAATATAAATAAATAACCTGTCGTAGGTCCTGATACACAGTTAATTACTCTATGAACTTAAACTCCTGGGCTTATTATTTTTATTAGAAAGAAAGTTGGAGATAAACGTACTCAAATGCCAACATCGGTGGTCTCCGGATTGTGGGTTTTCCATGGTTTTTATTTTCCCTGTCATTATTTATATGTTTTATAAGATTTCTACATAAAATGTTCTAAACAGAAAAAAGTGCTGTTCAACAATGAACATGAGTAGCTTGCATAAAGTACCTAATTATTGTTAGAATAATTTTGTACACTATTTTATGTCTGAAAATTAATACGGCTTTATAAAGTCTGACTTAATTTAAAATTTCTTTTTCAAAGTTTTTTTAAATTTTATTTTTAAAATATTTTTATTTCTTTTTAGAGAGGGGAAGGGAGGGAGAAAGAGAGGGAGAGAAACATTGATGTGTGGTTGCCTCTCACACGCCCCCTACTGGGGGCCTGGCCCACAACCCAGGCACATGCCCTGACTAGAAATCCAACCAGACACCTTTTGCTTCACAGGCCAGCACCTGAGTCACTGAGCCACACCAGCCAGGGCAATTTAAGATTCCTAATATTCTTATTCTCAGCCTGGAAAGAACAAAACACAGAATTTCCACACGTGAAAATAGTTAACGCGTCAGAGACCATGGATCCCAGAGAGAGGGCTGGTTAAGGTGGGCTCTGTTGTAGAGATGCTTCATAACCACCTAGTGCCAGCTGCTCATTGAACGCTTCCATGCCAGACCCTGTGATACTTTTTTTTAACCACACAACCCTGCAAAGTAATTCTTATTGTTATACTAACTTTAAGACCTGGAAACTGGAGCAGAGAGAACTTGAATAATTTGCTTGATTGATTGCACATTTAATAAAAGATAAACCCCCGATAGGGAGGCAATTATCAACTCTCAAGCCTGTGTATTTCAACATCATGCTACGTTAGTTATTTCAGAGACGTTGCATGATGGATGCTATTATTTCTACTTGACATGTGAGGAAACTAAGACCCAGAGAGGTTAAGGTCCCCAAAGTCAAAGTCCAGGTCTTCCCTGGAACGAGGACTCTAACCCACTTCCATCTGACTTCTCTCTGCTTCTGAGTAGAGCCCCAGCTCCTAAGTGGCTACCAAACTCCCTTTCTTGTGCAATGATATCGTGGCCAAGCGGTCAGTGTGAAGGATTTTGGAAAACATGACAACGGCATCCCCTCTTTCTGTAGCGTTTTCTACATTCCCCTCCACATGGTGCAGCCCATGACTGCCCAGACTTGAAGGTAGAACGCAAAACCATTTTACCCACTTCTTACCTCTTTGATGGGATTTGAAGACAATTCCAATTTTTTTAAGGAAGAATTGCCGAGGAAATCAAGGTCTTCACGTGCTAGTACATTAATTTTATTATTTGATAACAAAAGCTCTTGGAGACTTTGCAGCTGGACCTCAGTTCCTAATTTCACAGATGGGATGCCATTATGAGATAGATCTAATTTGATTAAATTCTGGGAGAGGAAAAATATGTACATAAGTCAGAGTCTTGCCACCGAAAACGATTCCTCTGAGTGCATGTGACTCTTACAACTAACTCAAAAGCAAAATGTCACCTCACAGGTATTCTAGAGAAAACTGACAGGAGTAAATAAAAATCTTTGCTGTGACTGAAAATACTATTGTGGCAAGGATTTCGTTTCTTACATCAGGAATCACTGTATCTCTCTTACCAAAATAAATGGACTTAAGCTTATTTATTCGTAAGGAATAGTCAAAATAAGCATGCTTTTACATGTTTATTTATGATAAACATTTACTTGTGATGTAAGGAGTATTCACATGGCTTACCAAACATATAGTGTCATTTGTCAGCCTTGAAACAAAACAACGGGAAAAAGAAATGTTTTCTTTAAAAGAGACATGGGAATAAAGAACAAACTGACCATGACCAGAAGGGGGCAGGGAGGTGAATAACAGGGGAAAGAAGGGGAAGGGTCAAGTCAAGGAAGATGTATAAAGGAACCATGGACAAGGACAGCGGGAGGCAGGTGGGAGAGGATTGAATGAGGGGGTGGGCAGGAGAGAGGAAAGTAATGGGGGAAAAAGCGGGGTCAACTGTCACTGAACAATAATTTTTAAATAAACAGTCATGTAAAAAAACGACTGCAGGTAGAACTTTGTCATCCAGGAAATCCTAAGAAGTTTATATTGAGAGAGATCAACACCTGTGTAAACTTCCATTGTGGCCGGTAGAGAATATTGATTTTTGTTTGTTTTTTTCAGTGTTTTCACCCTAAGCTGTTTTTTTGAATGTGTAAGCTTTCAACTCAAGTAAAAGATAAGGAAAAATTTATATCTGTTAGGCCGAAATCCTCTATCTTTTAAAGAGAACAAGACATTTGTTTATGCCTTAAAAATAAAAACAACATTTTTCCAGTGATTACTTCAACCAGATTTTGAGGTCTTTGTGACCAAAGACATTTTGTCCCCATCAGAATCTAAGAAGACACAGGAAGGAATTTCAAATGGCTTCTAAGCAAATCATTTCTAAGCATAATCAAATATGTATGTTCTTCTTGGCACCTGATGTCAATTTAATGGCCCGTTTGTTATAGGTCCATAAAACAAAACCACACGAAAAGAGAGCATTGAAAATGGCTTTGGCTCAGGAAAAGCACTGGGCTCTCAAATTTAGAGACAATAATACAGAGTGGGCAAAAGTACATTTGCAGTTGTGAGTACGCAAAACACAGTCAATTCTTGTGCTATTATTGATTAATTATTGTACCATTTTCCATATGAACAACTATAAAACTGCTTCTACTCCACACTGTACATTTTTCACAGAACTGAAATTCTAGCAAAGTCCAAAAAAAATTGTAAGTAGTCATTGGAATAGCAATATTGTGAGATTTCTAAAATCACAAGTAGGGAACCTTTAGTTGAATGCCTGATCATGTATCAACATGTTAACCTTATTTACATCAGAATTTGGACTCAACATTTTTTTTCAGCATTTCAGGTACTAAATCAGCAGTTTTGAGAGTTTATTTTGCTGTGTTCCTCATGGGATGTTCCACTTCATCTCTGATCTCTACCTCTTGTATTTAAAAGAGTCCTATTGCCAACGGGAGCAAGCCAGAGAGGCAGAGTTCTTTAAAATTAAAGTTGAACCTGATTTAAGATGATATTTTCTCTTTTTACAACATTTACTATTATAATGGCAACATTTCTGTGTGGCTCCCCTCACCGCTCCCCTCCCCCAATTTGGGTGGACCAGATTTCTCATTCTGTTTTTTTTTCTTTAAGATTTTACTTATTTATCTTTAGAGGGGAAGGGAAGGAAAGAGGGAGAGAAACATGAATGTATGGTTGCCTTTTGCGCATCCCCTGCTGGGAACTGGCCTGCAGGGAACAGGTCTGCAACCTAGGCATGTGCCCTGACTGGGAATCGAACCGCAATTGTCTGGTTCACAGGCCCGTGCTCAATCCACTGAACTACACCAGCCAGGGCCCAGATTTCTCATTCTTTATCTGGATATCTCAATATTAAATCTAAGGATAAATATTTAACTTGATAACTTAGTATTAGAGAACATAGTTTTCATTTCTTACATGAAAATGCATGTTTATCTTACCTTCAGGTTTTTAAAGGGATTATTTTGAATTTTCTGGATTGAGTTGGACCTAAGAAGGAGTTCAGCCAAATTCAGGCAGAAGGTAAAGGTTTTATCAGAAACTTGAGAGAGCTCATTGTGCTGGATGTTCAAAATTTCCAACAAGGGGAGTTTTTGGCACAGTTCTGGCTCCAGTTTGGAGATGGAGTTAAATCCTGCATCCAAGACAGTAAGTTGGCTGTATCTGGTCAAATTGGCAGGTGGTAGTTTTTTGAGCTGATTATGGGTTAGATTCAACACGGTTAGGTTTGCCGGTAGGTCATCGGGTATTTGAGTCAGCTTTAGGTGGCTGCAGTCGGCTACCTCGCGCCAAACAGTACACCTGTGGGTGAAAGATGCACACAGCATCCAAAAGGGCAACAGGCCCAAAAAGCAGGAAACAGGAGGCAGCAGACTCATGATTTTGTCCTATAAAAGAAACATAAAAACACAGTAAGCAACATTAATAATACCCATTTTCACATGCATTGGTACATTCCTTATAAAATATATAACCAAGTGTGATGATGCATGATTTGCTTACTGCAACTCTTAATGATATACAAGTAGAACATCATATGGAAATCATTCAAACGGTACAGAAAGTACAAAATGGAATGCACAAACTCCCCCTTCACACTCCCTTCCACAGAGTGGCAGTGGTCTAAGGTAGCCTCTTGACAGTTTCTATTTTCAATTCTCCTGATCACCTTCACAAACCTAAATAACATGCTTGTGCTACTATTTCTTCATGTACTGATTTTAAGCATTTTCTTGCCACTATAAAGATAAGAAACTTAATTATACTATTCCATCAATGTCTTCACAATTTTTCAGTATTTTTCATCTAATTTAATCTATTGTTACAATTATAATTTTAAAGACTATACTTAAAACTTCGTTTATTGATAAATCAACTTGAGGGAAAAAATCTCTTGCGCCTCACCTTGTGATACAGGAATTGTGCACTCCCGCATTCTGTATACACTCCTTCCTGCCTGGCATTTCCTACAAGTGTCAGCCACAACAGGGCGTGACGTTGTCAAGATATAAAACCTTAGCATTTATCCTAAGACTACGATAAGTCAGATATACTTGGTCTAGATCCATTCATAAAATCTGAAGTCAACAACAAATATCATTCGCCCTTTTACGATGATATAAATGAACTTTCACGCAGAATGAGTAAGACTTTAGAGAAACACGCTCACTAAGAGAACAAACCCTGGAATGCTACCCTCTGAGTTCTCTTATCTTGTAAGTAGATCATTGGGGTAGCCCCTCCCTGGGCTGTTGTAAAGATGAAAAGAGGTAAGTCTCGACATACCTGGAATACAGTGGTATTTAATTGTATTATTATATTAATCAGTATATGATCAGTATATTAATCATGTAATGACCATGATTGATAAAGTGGTCATTATAACTATTTCTTATTTTGTCAATTGTTTACAAAGAAAAACTTATGCAAACAAATTCTCTATTACAGTCTCAGCCGTGAAACAAGAAGGAAAGAGTAGAGAGAGCCAAGCATGTAAAATAATTGAAATTCAGGGAAACTCATGGACAGTGAGAGAGAGCCAAGAAGCTCCTTGTGAACTTGGCCTTGGTTAAGCGGGGCTTCGGCAAAGACCCGGGCTGTCTTCATAGGCTGGGAAGCAACAGACTCCTTGCTGAACAAGAACAGCTGAGAGTCATGTCAGGAGCCTCAATTCCTTTAAAAGTTCTCTGTTTCCCAATTTTATGTTAAAGAATGAGAAGAAGGTCTTGGGTTATGAGGTGTCCATGGGTCATTTTACCCTACTACTTGGTCTAAAAGAGGGAAATTAAGAAATGTAAGCACTTGCTGATACACTGTGCACAAAATCCAAGGCCTTTAAATGTTTTAATAAGGATCTTTCACATACTGTATAAAAAATTGCTTAGGGAACATTGTATAAGCTGCTTTGATTTTTATGTAAAATTCTTATAATTGTTACTAGTTAAACATCATCATGACTAATATTCTTTTAAAGATTTTATTTATTTATCTTTAGAGGGGAAGAGAGAGGGAGAGAAATATCAATGTGTGGTTGCCTCTCGTGGGTCCCCTGCTGGGAACCCTGCAACCCAGGCATGTGCCCTGACTGAGACTCGAACCGCGGTTGTTTGGTTAGCAGGCCCATGCTCAATCCACTGAGCTACACCAGCCAGGTCATGACTGATATTTTAAATGGATGATTTGAGGAGCTTTTTCCTATAGAGTGTGCATTGCCACCTTCAGTTCAATATTTCTGGACAGAGTTTTTCTTTTGATGTAAAATTTGCGTACAATGGAATGCACTAATATGACCATATGTTACCTGAGTTCTGACAGGTGCATACACCTGTGTAACCCGAACCCTAAAGAGTTCCCTGCCTTTTGACGGTTAATTCCAATTCCCACCCCCCACAAGAGACAGCACTGGCCTGACTTTTTTTTTTACTTCAAAACCTCATATCACTGGGATCATATTCACTCTGTGAAATAAGGCTTCTAAGCATTTCTAAAGCCGCACACAATTCTACATACACAGACCACGAGAAACATCACAGCCCACGCCAGTTAGGATGCCTCTTACCAAAGTGCTCAGATTTGTAGAGAATATAGGGCTGGGCATGGTGCACTCTGGAAGTTAGGGGCCAGTTCCCTACCTCCTGCTCTCCAAGATTCTCCCAAACCTCTTCTCCCAGGGCCATGTGGGTCCTACCTCTATTTACAAACTCTAGGTACAATTCCTGCAATATGTTCTTTTCTCCGTCTAGGTGACTTTTACCTTTTCTGGAAAGGTTACAGATAGAGATAGAACCACAGTTGTTCCTCAGCATTCACAGGTGGTCCTGGGACCCTCACAATCCCCAAAACCAGGGATGCTCCAGTCTCTTATGTAAAGTGGTGTAGTATTTGCATATGATATATGCAAATCCTCCTGTATACTTTAAACCACCTCTAGGTTGCTGATAATACCTAAAACAATGTAAACAGTTGTGATACTACATTGTTTACGAAATAATGGCAAGACAAGAAAGTCTGTCCGTGTTCAGTACAGACGCAACCATCCCAAGCCAACTACACAGTACAGGTCAGCAGCAACGTAACATTTGTTTCCTAACACTTTTGATCTGTGGCCACCTGGCTCCACCGCAGCAGGACCTGTGGATGCTACGGGGCCACTACCCTGAGAGGAACAAATCCATTTACAAAGTCTGTCCCTGTGGGACTGAAAGACCTCCCCAGATCTGAACGTATACTCCATCAGATGGAAGAAGACTCATCGAGTGCTAGGTAGAAGCAAGAAGGAAAAATACACAGAGAAAAACTGATGGAAGGTAAGAACTGTGACAATTCACACACACACACACACTCACAAATCCTAAAACCTTCTCAGAAAATGTATGATCAATCACTTCCAAAGGAATGATCCTAACCGGTATAAAACTTTTTATCAGCCACTAGAAAACAATCATAATAAGCTTTCAAAATGTTCAGGAGAAATTATTTTGAACTTAAAAATTTCATTTCCAGATGAGCAATTAAAGATAAGGAGGGGAAGTGTTTTGAGATGTGCAAAGATTCAGTAAATCTGTAACTATGTAACCTGTATGAAAAAAGTTATTTTAGGACGTGCTTCAGTAAAACAAACAAAATACAGTTCAAGGATGAAGTGAGAGTAAAGAATAAGTTGCTGCTAAATGAGACATGGTAAAAACACAGAAGGCTAAGAAGAAATGAAAGGCGGACTCAGCAGGTCTTGCAGGTTGGGAAAGCCTTTCGGGTTGCACAGGGTTACACTTCTCTGTCCAAGCCGGTGCCGACATGCACTGCGGTGAGGACGTAGGGTCTGTGGCCAGGCTGCTCGGACTCGCCACCAGTTACTGATTGGCCTGGACAGTTTGGTTTGTAAACTTTACATTTCCCCCTAAATTTATACAGATACACTGTATGCAGACACAAGCCAACATGGAATCGCATAGTAAAGTTGGGAGGCGGCTTCCTAAAAGGCGTACTAGCCAAGGCTGGCTCCATTTCTGTCCGGCTTAACCCACACCTACCCGGGCTAATCTCCGATCCGCTCACACAGCTGAACGTTTTCCCACTTCTCACCTTCATCCTTTTCCTTTATCAGGTCAAAGAAAGCCATTTCCTTACTCCGAGAAACGGCTGAGTGTTTCTCCTCAAGCACAGTATCAGAAAGTGCCTGCTCCTGTCTCCTTTCCAACCGAGAAAAGGAGACAAGTGCCTTTACGTTCACATGATTTAGTATCTTTAAGACAAAGTTGTGACTTTTTTTAAGTTGTTGCACAGCGATTTCCATACCTACCCTAATATTCTTGTCTCGTTACAAAACTCTACAAACAAAAAAATTTTAAATCCTTTATACAATGTTTTATCATGTTAATTAGAAATCGTTGCTCTTACTTGTGCTCTGAGTTGTGATGCACTTCTCGTTGCCTGCCTTTTCTGGCTGGATTTCAAGCACCAGAGTAAAGAGAGACCCAGGAAGGCTTACACCAACATGCACTCCAGCGTCACCCAACAGGAGAGATCCAGTCCCAACAGGAATTTAAAATATTTAAAACATGTACGTACCTTTGCTAACTCCGAGGGCAGCTTCCCGGGTTCCCATTGAGCTCACCAGGGGAGTGTGGCCAGGGTGCTTCAATCCCGAAAGTGAAAGTGAAGTGTTGTTTTTTGTGTTTTTTTTAAAGCCTTTTATAGTTGGTGCACTCTAAGAAGGGCGAAAGAAACAAAATCTCAGGAGGAGGCATTTTAAATAGCTTCCTAAACATGTCTTCCTTTTCTCTTCTTCAGGGACCATCCCCTGAGTTTCATGAAAAGGGTCACAGATTTATTTAGCAAGGAAGAAAGTTCCAAGAGTGGGACTCTAGCCCTTGGTGTGGGCAGAGCCCGGACCCAGAAGTTAATGAATCCCTAACCCAGAGTGAGTTTCCCTCTCATTAACCAGAGGCTGATGCAAAAACGGTCAGAACTGAGCCCTGTGTGGTCAGAGGGTCAGAAAAAGCCTCAGTCCCTGATCAAAGCTAGTGACTTCCATGTCTCTGATCTCACTTCTTGGCAACACTTTCAGAGAAGCCAGTGCAGACACCCACCCTTTGAGCAGACAGGAGACTGAGTTTCCCAGCTGAGAAGGAGCTGGTTCCGGCAACGCTGAGAGTCCACCTAACACACTCGCTCCTCTCTGCACAGTCAGGACCTGCTAGGGAGCAGGTAGATGCGCCTCCAAGAAAGTTTGGGTTTGCTGTTTAGGATTCATTTCTCCTTACTGACTGCAACTAGTTAAAGAAGTGTGCTTGTCAAGAAATGAACATATTTTTCACTGTGCACATGATACAATATTATTACTGTGGCTATAACGGTTGGGACTGCAGAGGCCACCTCATCCAACTCCTTCCTCTGTGACACGAGGAAAATGAAACCTAGTGAGGGGAGACATTTACCTAAGGACACGCCCCATAATGCATCCCACAAGCAAGCACTAAAATAGCCCGGGACGGTTGAAACTTATCACTAGCTCAACTCGATTGCAGAATCACGAGCAAGAAATAAATTTGTCAGGGTGTAAAATGCCCACTCCGGAGCCTCAGACTTAGCTGTTGGGTATTTAAAAGGGTCAATATTGTGCATAGGTTTGAGTTAGAGTGATTCTTAAGAATTTTTGAACTAAACCTTTCCTAGCAGGAACACAGAGATCATACCAACCAATCCTCCCAGAGTTAGCAGGAAGCCAAAGTGATATATCTTTTTGTTAGTAGAACTTCACGTGGGTTTATAATGTGCTGAATGTATTGGGGGCCCAAATAAATAGTTAAATTCACCACAGAGCATTAGATGTATCTGGACAGTCTTTTTGCACTGTGCTCACGGTCTCCCTTCACAGACACCCTTCAGAAAGGACATTGTCTTGCTCCGTAGCTTCTGAAATTCTAGAAGGTATTTCTTTTTTCTTTTTGAACTCTCCCCCTAAAGGAAAGGTGCAATGCCTCTTCCCAGTGTCCTTTCCACTTCTGCTCACAAAGCTGCAGGGAGTTTAAATTAAGTTCGACCAAACCACAAACTCAGCGAGAACATTAATGAAAAAGGAAGTACCACTCTGCCTTTTCTATCACTCTCGCTCACATCTACAGAGCAGGATTGAACTCGAACTTCCCCTCTGAAAAAGAAGCCAACATTTAAGACACAGAACTTCTGGTTTAACCTGAAATTTTATTTCTTTTTTAATAATTTTGTAAGGTATTGGAAAAGTGGTGATAACTTTCTAAGTCAGTCTGTGAAGTAGGTTAGTGTGAATATTTAAATTCTCATAACACGGCTGAAGAAGACTCTTCAAACTCTGATGTCCACCGGGGAACCCACAAAATGCAATCAGAAATGTCAGACAAGACTATTAAATAATCAGACTTAACACAAGGAAGTTCAAAGTGTTCAAGTAGGTACAGGTTTCTCCTACCATCTGAAAGTAGAATGGTCCCTTGAAACCTTTCATAAGCCAAAATATCATGGAAAGAAAAGAACAATTATTGTTAATTTAATATGGATAAATTTTTGAGCATTCCTAGACCCAAAGCATAAGCTACCAAATAGTACCCAAAATCTAAAATAACACTGATATAGTAAAAGCAGGAATGGTATAAAAATATACAAACCTGTATAAAGTGGAAATAATGTATTTACAGTGTAGTTTTACTTCTTAAAAAAATCTGATTGATTTCTCCTGAGGTACTCACATCAGATAACTTAATGGAACATCATGCTTTGTATACCCATCAACCCACTCAAATCAACAACTTGTCATTTTATCCATTTCCAAATACCCAATAAAAGAGACCACTTTGTTATTTAGCAGGACCAATAGCAACTTCAGCAGCTTTCAAGACTTTTTTCTCTGTGGACATAAGCAAGTTCAAAATACATACGATGCCTTTATTCTCTTCACCATGTTTGAATTGCTTAATTACCTGTACATGCAGCTTTACACTGAGCGTGACGCCCTTACAGACTGTCCTTGGCTTTTCTGATACCAGAGGACAACACATCTTTCTAGTGGGAGCACAGAACAAATTTACATAAAGCTCAGAGGCTCACCAGCACGCCTCTGAGCGCTGGGGGCTTGTGGCTGAGCAGCCGAGTGTGGTGCTGGGGAAGCCTCTGGGGGGGGGGCGCTTTCGCTGTGTGGCATCCACCAATGCGAGCAACAAATGGTCGGTAGCTTTCAGGAGTTTAAGATGGAACTTTATTGGCCAAAGCTTTACCTGCACAGGGGCGAACTCTTGGGGTGTCCGGAGACACGGTGCCAAGAGGCTGCAAATGAGAGTCGCTCCTGGCGCTTACAGCCTAGGGTTTTTATTGGGGTGAGCAAGCAAGCAAAGACAGAAGCAGACGTAGCTGTTAGCAATTGGCTATCTCGAGAGAACACACATGGCTATGTTCTCTGCTTGCAACAATGGATACTTTTCTGCAAAGACAAGGTCATGCACAAGGCGGTTGCCTTGTTCAGCACTCTTTGTACTTTCTGTACTTTCTATCTTCCTTGCTGAGTCAGTCTGGAGCCTGCCTCGGGTTCCTCTTGGCTACTTTTATCTAATTCTGGGCCTAACAGATGCTCGGGGTGAACACCGCCTCTATAAAGGCTTCTGCAAGCCAAAAGCTGAAGGCTATTTTTGCTCTTCACCTTTTTTTTTTATAAAAGCAAAAACCCTCTTCAGATTTCTTGCACCTCAAGGAAACAGGTAGTTGTATAGGTCATTTGTAAAAGCAACGTGGCTTCACACAAACTTTCGAAAAGCAGGACCTACCTGGGATGAGTTACTGTGACAATATTGGACTGGTCGTAGGTGAGAATTAGTGCTCATGAAGACTGATCTCCACTTTATACTGCAAATTCAGAGTCAGCAGGGGAAATCAAAAAGAAGACCCAGGATGGAAGGGTTGGGTCATTGATTTTGATAGGGGACTCAAGAATTGGAAAAGTTTAGCCCTGGCTGGTGTAGCTCAGAGGATTGAGCGCAAGCCTGTGAACCAAAGGATCCTGGTTCGATTCCCAGGCAGGGCACATGCCTGGGTTGCAGGTCAGTTCCCAGTGGGGGATGTAGGAGAAGCAACCATACAGTGATGTTTCTCCCTGTCTCCTTTCCTTCCCCTCTAAAAATAAATAAATAAAATCTTAGAAAAAAATTGGACTATTTTATTTAAAAATTTTTTTAATTTATTTTTTATTGATTATGCTGTTACAGTTGTTCTATTCCCCCCTTCATTCCCCTCCACCCTACCCCCCGTCCCCACCATTACCCCCCTTTAGTTTATGACCATGTGTCTCAAGTTCTTTAGATTCTATATTTCCCATACTATTCTTGCCCCCCCATCTATTTTCTATCTACTGTCTATGCTACTTATTTTCTGTACCTTCTTCCCCCTTCTCCTCCTCCCACTCCCCTGTTGCTAACCCTCCTTGAGGTCTTCATTTCTATGTTTCCACTCCTGATCTAGCTGTCCTTTTAGTTTGCTTTTGTTTTAGGTGTGGTTGTTAATAACTGTGAGTTTGTTGTCCTTTCACTGTTCATGTTTTTTTAACTTCTTTTTCTTAGATAAGTCCCTTTAACATTTCATATAATAAGGGCTTGGTGATGATGAACTCCTTGAATTTGATCTTATCTGAGAAGCACTTTATCTGTCCTTCCATTCTAAATGAAAGCTTTGCTGGAAAGATCAATCTTGGATGTAGGTCTCTGGATTTCATGACTTGGAATACTTCTTTCCAGCCCCTTCTTGCCTGCAAGGTGTCTTTTGAGAAATCCGCTGACAGTCTGATGGGGACTGCTTTGTAGGCGACTGTCCCCTTAGCTCTTGCTGCTTCTAGGATTCTCTCCTTCATTTTAATCTTGGCTAATGTAATGATGATGTGCCTTGGTGTGTTTCTTCTTGGGTCCAACTTGACTATTTTAGTTTAAGGTAAATAGTTAACAAGCCAAGTAGGTAAAGCATGTGTTAAAGCTTTTGTTTCAGGTACTGCAGGTGGAGCCCACCACTCCCCGGAGACACAACCGACCTCCCAGTGGCAGGCAACGCCCACTGCCTGGGGCACAGCTGCAGCCGTCCCAGCCACTGTGTTCCAGTGAGAGACAGGCAGACAGCTACCGCCCAGGGCAAGATTGCTGCCATTTTTTTAAAATCTAATTTTCCCTGAGTTTCAAAACCCCTCCCAGAACTTTGTTCTCTGTTATAAAAAGGTTGGCTTGAAAGGAAATGTAAACTGGTCCATTAGGGTACTCAGTCTGACCACATTTCTTGCCATCTAAGAGGAAGCTTAACCTGTATAATGGCATGATTTGTAATAAAGAATATGAGAACCAGTCTTTAAAAAGTG